CCGACTGGACAGAAACACTATTAATAAAACAAGGAAAAACAGGTTTGGTGAGAAGATAAATTCACTTTTGGTTCTGCTTATTTTGAGAAGCCTGGGGAAATTCATACAGTTTGTGTTATGGACAGTTAGCCATATAATTTAGGGGCTCCAGGGACAGGTTTGATCTGGGGATAAAATTTTAGGAATCATCAGAGTGTATGTGGCTTGAAGCACAGGGTTCAACTCAGATCTAGGATTAAATCTGAGCTCAGAAACTACTTGTTTCTTTTTTTTTTCTTCTATTTGTAAAGTGGGATATCAAACCCAGGATCTTTATAAGGATTCAATGAATGTTGTCTGAATTTAGTTATGAATTTATTATTAGCTATTATGATTGCAGTACAGATTTACTAGGAAAAAACTCCATTATAGCAAGCACCTTTTTTCTTTTCATGGAATTCACTTAGATGCTATATGAAATGCATTTGAGCAATAGACCTGTAAGGTATGGTTTATTGCTCCCAAATCAGCATGGTGCATGGCCAGCAAGTGTGCCTTTAGTACAAGGCCATGTGTCTTAGTCACTTTCCCACTGCTGGACAAAATACTCAACACCCACAACTTACAGAAGGTGAGGTTTATTTTAGCTCATAATTTCAGTCCATGGTTGGCTGGCTCAAAGAAAGAAATGGCATGGCCGTGGGCCTAACAGGGAGGGGAGCTGCTTTCATCATGGTGGCCAGGAAGCAGAGAAAGGAGGGAGGAGCCAGGGACAAGAATATACCCTTCCAGGTCACACCCCATTGACCTAACTCCAACCAGGCCCCACTTCCTAACCGCACATTTAGCTACTAACTCTTGAAGGAATGAATCCACTGATGAGTACAGTGCCCCCATGATCCAGTTACCTTCCACACACATGAGAGTTTGGGGGGACGCTCTAGATCTAAATTGAAACACTGTGCCAGGGGGTTTCCCAGTAGGCAGCACATCTCCAGGGCTGTAACCCTACTTCTCACTTTCTTTTAAAAATACACATTTTAAAAAATTTTAATTTTTATTAGTACATTTGTGGTACATAATTATTACATTAATCACAGTGAATTGGCACATGTACATCTTAATTCTTTTTAAGTCCCCTCCCACCTCCATCCCTTAGTCCCCTTCCCATTCACAAAAGATCTCCCTGTTTCCTACTATCTTCTTGTTCTTTTATTTATATAAAATAAGCCTTTTATGGAAAGCATTATCTCTTTCATCTTGTTTCTATACAACTGAAAACATATCGACAGTTTAATGTTTGTCCCTCTAAAGCAATTTGTCCATGGCCCCTTTCTAAACTCTTATCCCCTATTCTGGCCCATAATTAGATCCTTATGTTATTGTGGATTTACTTACACGTTGTAAAATACAAAAACCAGGGTGGCTCAGCACTCATTCGCAGGGGTTGACAGTGAGAACCAGTGCTAGCAAATCTGGACCACAGTATGTAGATCCTATAGGAACTGTATACATGAGATGTTCTGTACTTGATGTTGGATTTTGATGCTGTATTTTAGTGGGATCTGTTTAGAATAGAAGGAAAACTAAGAATGGATCTTAAAGCAACAAAATGAGAAAAGTCAGTCTAGTCAGAAAAGTCAGAAATTGCCAGTTTGTCTATAGATGACCACCAAATTAACCTATTGTCAATTTAAAGAATAGATTTGACTGCTATTTCTTTGTTTCACTGTTCATAAAAATAATACCAACCATTTAAAAATCAGTTTAAATAAGCTATTATCATTCATGAAATGATTATATACTGATAGATCCTATGCAAATAGATTGTATCACCTCAATAGTTCCTCTTCGTGTGACTTTGCTGCTTCTCTCATCAAGAAGGGGACTCTTTCTCTTCAGCTCCTGAATCTGTACTGGTCTTTTGACCTGCTTTGCCTAATAGCATGTGGTAGATGTGATGTGTAATTTCTGAGCTTGAGGCTTCAAGAGGTCTTGCAGGCGCCTCATGGGCTTGGCATTATGCCACCACATAGGGAGCCCAGGCTATCCTCCTTGAGGAGGAAAGGCTCTAAGGAGAGAGATCCAGTCGGCAGTCAACACCAGCTGCCAGTCATAAACACCAGTCAAGCCACCAGATGACTCCAGCAGCTGTGTGACTCCAGACAGGGCCAGCCCAAACACACACAGATACAATGGTTTTAAGCCACAAATTATGGGTGCTTTGTTATGCATCAATTTTTTATATTTGCATATATGTATGTATGATATTTTTCTCTCATCTTGAGGATGAAGGAGAATACTTTAAATTATAAAGCAGACTTAGGGTTAATCATTAGGATATACTTCTAGACTTATAAAGATCAAAAAGTGATGCAATAATGATATGTTAACCTAGGTTGCTGCACGAACAGTGACATGGAAGCAGATTTTTTTCTGGGATTGTGTACACTGTTTTAAGAGGTAAGGTGGTAATTCTAGATGTCCAGAGTCCCTTTAAACTCTAGAGCCATGACAGGCTTGGTAGCACATTCCTGTAATTCCAGCACTCTGAGAGGTTGGCAGAGAGGAACTACAAGTTCAAGCTCAGCCTGGGCAACTGAGTAACTTAGTGAGACTCTGTCTCAAAATAAAAAAGGTCTAGATATTTAGCTTAGTGCTTAGCCCCTGAATTCAGTCCTTAGTACCACAAAACAAACAACGTAGCTAGAGCCCTGTAAAATTTCAATTCTTGTGATATAGCAACTAACTCTATTTCTACTTGATATACTTATACATACCTATTTATTTGTTCCTTTATTTTGCAGCACTGGGGATTGAATCCAGGGCCTTCACACAGAGCTTCATCCCTGGCCCTTTTTAGATTTTTTTGAGACAGGGTCTTGCTAAGTCACTAAGTTAATCAGGTTAGGCTTGAACTTGTGATCCTTCTGCCTCAGCCTTCCTGAGTGCTGGGATTACAGGTGTGCACTATACCTGGTATGTTTATCATATGTAATACTTTTTATGACCGGCAGGATTCACTGGTTCATTTTTCACATACAATGTGATCCAAAACAATTATGGTATAGTGAAGTCAATACAGCATGATGGCCAAGTTCGAGTTTCAGAGCCAAACTGCTTGGGTTCAGATGCTGATTCAACAGCCTATCAGCTGTAACCCTGATAAATGATGTTATCTCTTTACCTGTCTTTCTACCCACAGAATGGATAGCACAAACCCCACTGGGTTGTTGACAGGATAAAATGAGCTAATACTTGAATTTAAAACATACTAGCTACCCAACACATCTCAGATAGTAGTATTGTTCGTATGTTTTAGTTAGAAGTTTTCTAGATCTTGAACTCAGTTCTTTTACTGACCTCGGGTACATATTACTGTCTGATTTTGCTTTTTCTAAGTTATAAAATAAGGTTTACTAGATAACTTCCATGATTTATTTTCATCATTTAAATTCTACGATTCAATGTTTAATATTTGTTTTTACCAAAATGCACTCTTCAATCATCTCAAATTTTAAAAAGACTCTCTAAAACTTATGTCAGCAAGCAATTCTGCAGGTATTCTGAAAATAAAAATACTTCACCCCTGCAGTGGTGTGTTCCTACATGCATGTAATCCTAGCACTTTTGGGAGGCTGAGGCAGGAGGATCTCAAGTTCAAGCCCAGCTCAGGTAACTCAGCAAGAATGACTCTCATACATATACATGGGCTGGAGATGTAGCTCAATGCTAAGGCCTTGGGTTCAATCCCCAGGACCATGAAATTTTTTTTTTTTTTTTTTTTTACAAAATGTGATTTTATTGAGTGCACAATAGACCCTATTATACAGAAGTGGTGTTATATTTTATTGCGCATTGCTTTGTAATCCGTGTCATTTCATATTTCACTTTGATGTTGGCTGATGGTACAGATATATATGATCTTGTGAGGCCTGTCAGTGTGATCATTTTTCTATCCTATTGCTCCCGTCCGAAATCAAGCTGCTGCAATGCCCAAAAATGCTCCATTCAACATTTTTACAATAAAAATTCTATCAATTTACAAACTTTCAGATTTTGAAAATGGATTTCGGTCACTCTTTTCCCAAAACACACCCAACACATGCACTAAAATATACTTTTTCAGGGCACCGAGAACTGCGAAGACAACTGCGAAGGTTTTCAGTATTCCCGTGTAAGGGGAGATAAACAGGCAAATGGGTTTTCTTTCCCCTCAAAATTTCCTGACCTACAGTGGACACATTTGCTTGAAGTCACTAAGGGCAAGAATTCCGTAGCTGGAGTTGGGAAAAAGGGGGGCGGCTGCCCTTCGGGGAGAAGCGGCTCTGAGTTTGCACATTTGACCGAGGACTGCGAGCTTCGGGGATTTTCCAAGCAGGACGCGGACTTCCAGAAGAGGGAAAGTGCAGGTGTCCACGTGACCCAACTTCATTTTCGGGTTCAACAACGGGGCCCGCTGGAATCAAAACCGCCCCGCTGTCAATAATTTGTTTTCCTCCCAACCGTCGGATGAAGAACCCACACCCCCAAGTTCAAGGAGGCTCCGTTCCAAAAACTGTTGGCTAGGAAAACACCAAAGTTCGACTTGTGCCACCGATAAACGCGCTGACAACCTTTCGAATCACTCAACGCCTCACTCTCATCTGCCAAATCCTTTGCTAGTTTCTCCCCGGGCTTTTGCAAGAGTCCCCGATTTGGTTCCACGGACCGAAAGGCGGGAGCAACACTTAAATCGCTGAGCAGCCCGCGTCCCTGCGCGGATGCGCACCACGGTCCTCACACCTCCCTGCGCGCGCAGCCCGGGCTCCGGCTCTCCGTGCGCGGGCGGGAGGACGCGCGCGAGCGGCCGGCGGGACGCGCTGGCCCCGGCCGCCCAGGTTCTGGGTCCCAGTAGCCTCCCCACCGCCGGGGGCCGGCCGGGCGCATGCGCGCCTCGCTGCCGGGCGTGCCGGTCACACTCCCCCACCCACTCCGTGAGCTTGTCACTTCCTGCCCTCGCCCCATCTCCGTCCGGGGTCAGTCAGTCTCTCCCTGTCGCTGCCGGAGAGTCTCTGCTTCCCCCTTCCTACGCGCTCTGCGGCGGTAGCCCGGGCTCTCCGGGGAGAGGGAGACGGAGACGGAGAAGGAGACGGACTGACTCAATAAAGTTTCCTGAAACAACAACTACTACCAGAAAGGCCCAAGGTGGGGGGGACCCCGTTCCTCCCCGCCCCTCTCCGAAGCCTGAGGGACCGTTGCAGGTGGAGCGGCGCTGAGGGGAGCCCGGCTGCGGCGGCCGCCGTTGCCCGGGCGAGAGGCGCCTCGGCTCCTGCCCGCTCCGGTTCCGGCTCCTTCGGCGGCGGCGGCAGCTACTGCCGGGCGGTTCCTCCTGTCAACTGCGTGCGCCCGCGCGCCGCCCGGCCCCACAGCGCGGAGGGACGCCGCGTTCGACACCCCGGGCTCCTCGGCCCGCGGAGGGAGGCGGTGAGCTGCGCGCTTCCGCATCAGCGCCGGCGGGGACTCTGGGAGCGCGTTGGGCCCGAACCCGCTGCCTGCGCGCGGTCCGCGGAGGCTGCACCAGGTGGGCCCGCGCCCGCCGGCCTGCCTGCCTTCCTTCCTTCCTCCCGCCCGCCCAGGAGTTAAGTAAGTTGTGCGCACTCGGCGGTGGGGACCCGGGCTGCGCCAGCGAGACCACAACGCACGTGCGTGGCGGGAGGGCGCGACGCGGGTCGGCCGCGGGCGGGAGCCTCACCTCGCCGCCCGGAGCCCGGCCGTGCCCGCCAGCCCCGCGTTGCCCTCTCCGCGCCCCTGGGACGGCGAGGCCACAGCCGTCGCCTGGGCCTTCGCCCTGCCCTGGGCGCCCCAGGCTCCGTTTCCGGGTAGCGCGGTGAACCTGTGCGGGGCGTTGGGGCTGCGGGCGGCTTCCTGCGCCTCTCTGCTCTCCGAGGGGAAGGCGCGGGTCGGGCGGGGAAGGCGGAGACGCGCGAGGTGCGCGTATCTGCAAATTGCAGCCAGAGCCCTCCAGGAAGTTGAGGGTGCCTGACGCGTTTTTGCTTCTTTCCACAGCAAAGCCGAAATGAAGAGCTTCTTGCAGTGAAAGGAAAGTAGGTCGCACTCACTGAAAATGCCTTTAAGGGACAAATACTGTCAGACTGACCACCATCATCACGGATGCTGTGAACCAGGTGTGCCCTTTTTCTCTCCTAGCGACTTTGCCTCTCCATCAGAGCCACTCTGCCTTCTGGTTCATTCTGGTTTTCTTTTTCTCCTGCCCAAGAAGTCATTACTAAGTAAAGCAGGCTGTAATTTTCCCCAGCATAAAACCAGTTATGAAGCTAAAAGCTTGTACAAACAAGAGGTCTCCCCAGCTTGATCCCTTAAAGAAAGTACTGCAGGTGTCACCTTTAGTCATTTCTATGAGATCAATTACTCAGTCCTTTTCAGTCTTCCAAGACAGCCTGCAGTTAGTGCTATACCCCTATGCTCTGTGAGTGTTTAAAATGAAGAGAAGTTGGGCTCCCAGCGTTCACATTCGTGAAAATTGTTTCATTTAAACTTAAAAAAGTGTCTCATGTATTTTCATTAGAGAATAGTGTTGAAACACCTAAAAATGGTTGGTTGAACTTGTTGAGAAAATGAAGTTTTGTTAATTGTGTAAAAAATCTTTAAGAATGTTTTTGGATAGAACTTATATTGCAGAATAAAAGGAAAAATCTGATTAGATAAAATGAATAAGTATTTCTAAGGTGTTTTATTTAGTGGAATTGTTGTAGTTGAGTTTATGAAAACAAAAAGTTGTTTCTTGGAGTCTTACACATATTAGCAGACTTTGATAGATGTGGTATGTAAACTGTTGATGCTTTTTCTGCTTAGAATTTTAATGTGGTTTGTGGCAAAGATTTAGAGGTACAACTTGTAAAGGAATTATTCAATATAGACTCCTAGTAAGCCAAATAAAGACTTCTAGTCCAGGCCAAAGGCAGGTATTTAATTTTTTTTTTTTTTTACCCCAAAGTTATTGGAATTTTTGGTACTTTTGCTTTTTGTTGGAGTATTTTGACTACACTTAACCACTTGGATTTGATCACAATTGAGTTCATATTAAGTAATTTTCTGATTAATGGGAAAAATGGCAATGTCAAAAGGAGGGAACTTCCATTTTCAGAAAACTTTGGTACACATGAGAATAAAATTAATACTACAGCTTTATTTCTACTCTACTCTGTTGGGATCAGTAATAACTTATCTGTAACTAAAAACAGGCAGCCCCAAGATGGGATCCAGATTCTGATCTGTTGCCTCTTGACTTGTCTGTTAGTATCCTTTTACACTGCAGATTTCCTGTATTTGAAGTTAAGGTGCATCACTTACGTTTTACAGAGTTGAGTGGTGTTTGCTAATTTTGAAATATAAAGATGTGAATGCCTTTTATACTTGTGTTCCACTAACTTTTTGTTCTAGTTTTTTTTTTCTGAGAATACTTCAAGTCATTTAAATTGCATTAATGAGGTTATCTTATTGAGGAATAAGATAATTTTTATGCTCATTCATTTCTTTAATTACTGAACACCTATTAAGGGGTAGGCACTGTCAGAGACAATGGGGGTATAAATGGTGAACAACAGAGATAAGATTCTTCCCTCCTCAAACTTTTGAGTTGGAAGAGATAAACAAGTAAAGAATTTGTGAACATGCCTTACTTATATTCTGATAATTAAAATTGTAGAGACTTTTAATGTCTTTTTAACAAAGTTTTCTGGAATTTTATTTTTAATGTGTATTGGAACTCCAGGTTTTTTTCTTTTTTAACAAGAAATCAGAAAAATTGAATTAATTTAAAAAGCTTCATCTTTCTTTTACCAGAAATATAGGTTTATTTTCAGACTTACCAGATTAAACCTAGTTAATGTTTCTCTATTTTCTTGGCTTAGAATTAAACACTCTCTAAGGATATAGTTCAGTGGAAAGCTTAAAGTTGGCTAACTTGTAGGGTAGTTAGTTCACCACAGCTGTTTCAGGAGAAGGTATATTCTAAGTGGGATGATGTTTCTAGGACTGAAAGAAATATGATGTGATAGTGTGATAGAGGATGTTCTCAGATGGAGGCAAGAAGATGATGGTGGTGTTTGAGATTTGTTTTTCCCTTTGGAAGTACTGGCAACTGAACTCAGGACTTTCCCAGTGAGCCCCCCAGTTTTTAGTTTAAGATAGGGTCTCGATAAATTGCTAAATTCTCCAGACTGGGCTCAAATTTGAAGTGTTTCATCCTCCACCTCTGGATTTACAGGTGTGCACCACCACACTTGGCTTGAGAAATTCTTTAATGGATTGTCCTAAGTGGTCTGTCCTTATTTGGATAATTAATATGAGCGAGTTCTCAGATAAGGAGTAGTATTCCTGAGGAGACCATATTTCTTCATGGGACTGGTCAGTTTATAGTGAGGGGTAGTATTAGAAGCCTATTGATGTATGAAAAGTAGTTTCATAATTATTTTTTAAGAATTTTAAAAAATGGAATTAAAAAAAATAGAATGGTATAAAGAGTTTGATATAGCCATCATACAACTCTGTCAGTTATCAGTACATGGACAATCTCTTTTCATCTATATTCTTCTCCCATAATTTCCTTCTCTACCCTACAACTCTTCACTCACATTATTTGTAAACAAACCTTAGACATCATAATTAGAAGATCTTTAAGGAACTTGCTTTAAGGTGGGAGAGACTCTTACAAAAGTGGATGTTATTCTAGAAATTGTGTTCCTTGGAAGACTGTAAAGCTGTTTGGAGGTTCAGTTTTTTGGTTGGAGGAGGATAATTTTTATTAATGGTTATGACATGGAAGAGTCTGATCTGGGGTGGGATGATAGGATATAGAAGAGGAAATTTTATAAAATATTAATATATTAAAGTTTCTAGAATTGGGAACTGTGTTTTCAAATGAAGAAAGTTTTTTTTCTTTTTCTTTTCTTTTTTCTTTGTTTTTTAATTGGAGCCACACAGATGTCTGTACCAAGTGGATGTGTCCAGGTAGAGCTAAGTTAGCCCTGGGCTTATTTTTGAATGTGAAAATGTATTTATAAGTGCCTCAGGATATGAATGTGTTCTGGTGGTAGCAGTGTTTTGAGAGTAGTGGCTAAGACACTGTTCTAGTTTTAAAATCAAGCATTTTCATGTGGAAGTGGATGTTGATATGTTATGAAGAGTTTTCTGAAGCATATACTGTACCTAAATAAGGAAATGGGGCTCTAAGGCAGTCTCTTTGCCCCAGTAACCCCATTTATTTCTATGGAATTTGTTGTTCTCCAGTTCTAGAATTCTTGCCACTTGGAGAGTCAGACCTTGAAGTGTTTAGTTCTTTACAACTGTGTGGCTTTTCACCCTGTCTTTCGTAATTATTTTTATAAACAGTTATCAATTACTATACTATAAATACTGAAAAGTGATCCATTTAATTCAGACAGTTCTCCTGATTCAGTTAGTTTTATCAATCTGTTCATAAACTTCTGTTGTTTCTCTGAGAGGTTGGATTTAGATTTTATAAAAAGATTTTTCAGTTTTGGTGTCAGGAAAGTAGCTAATTTGTACCAAGGTGGTGATGGTGATGATAATGATAGTTTATTGAGAACTTGATATATCCCAGATTCTGGGATATAATCATTTTCTTGAATTAGCTCATTTAATCCCCACATAATACTCTATTTAGGTAATTTTATTATCCCTGTTTTAGAGAAGAGAAAAAAAAAAGTTTAATTTGCCCTAGTTGTGTCTGGTAAATGGCAGAGTAAGAATTTAAATGCAGACAGTCCAGATCTGGATTCTTATGTTCATCATTGCGGTTAATGTCAGTACCAGATGCTCTCAAAATGAGTTGTATTGTGTGTTTTGAATTCTTTTAAAATACTCTTGAGTGTTTTTTTAAAATTGGGAAAATTTTGCTTATGAAATGATGTGATCCTGAGACAGGGTTCTTCCTGTTTGTATATATTGAGTACTTATACTTGAAGCATAAAGAAGAGATTCTAAGGCTGCATCTATATGCATGCACAGCAGGCACCAGCCCCTTTATCAAAAAGCTAATTGCTATCCAAGCCTAAGCCCTGAAGCAGAAGTAGAACACACTATTGAAGTAACCCTTATCTCCTCACACCAAGTGGATGTCCTGGGTTATGATGGTAATAGTTGGGTAGAAAATTATGGCATGTTAAAAAAGGAGATAATTAAAATGGCCAGTTTTTCTCCACCACAGCCTATCTTTATTTGATAACTAATGGAAAAGCTCAGTTTTCTTTTTAGCACTTTGTTCATATTAACATAATCTAGTTATATTTATATTAGTATTATCTAATTATATATTTATACTCTTGATCCAAGAATTTTGGAAAGTAGGGTTAGTACAGATCCCTGTATGTAAAAACTTTTAAAATGGAAACATTTTTACTTATAAAAACATGTTTTTTTCCTCCTAAACTTACACTTCTAAAAGACCAGGTTCTGAAGTAATAGTGCAGTGGAGAGTGAACATCACCCTATAAACCAGCTGACAGAACCTTTGCTAAATTTGTTGATATCCTTCCAAGACTCTTTTCTGTTTATGTTGGGTCTGTTCATATACCCAAATACACATTAAACTTATGTATTTCTGTATTATCTAAATGTGTATTAATGTTAGTGGGATCATAATCTATGGCCTGTTTTTGTTGCTTAACAGCTATTGACATCTTTTGTTGTCAGTACCCATAGATCTAGCTCATGCTCTCTGAGAATTGTGAGAGATTCTCCTCTTTGGATATTTCATAGTTTTAGTCTGGTCCCTATTGAGAGATCTTTAAGTTGTTTGAAATGTCTCTTAATTATACACAGTGCTGGAGAGTGCTGCTGTGAAATTTTTGTTTAGCTATCATGTGGACTTGTTCAGTTACTTCCTGAGGGAGTAAGTTTTGAGTTTTGCTCCTGTAATTGTCCAGAGAGCTGCTCCAGATTATACATTTTGAAATGGTTTGTGGGGTGTGGCTAGGCGATGTTGCTTTAGCATTTTTGTTAAATATAGTGAGTGGCTCCTCTTTAAGAGGAATAAAAGGCAAACATAAGGTATGTATTCTAAATGATACCAAAATAGAGTCTTTGTATTTAAACCTAATACCTAGCCTTAAGTAGCTTTCAGTTAGGCTTTAATTGAAAATTATTTTGTTTTTTTCCCTCTTTTGTTTTGTCTTACCTGTGAAAGATGGTGGTGAATTTTACACATATAAATATATGCAAATGTGATTATTATTAACATAATTATAGTAAACCATTGTTTTACTTTAATAATAAATGATTTAAATAACCCTTTTTGTGGGGTTTGGGGTGGGTATTTCTCTTCCATGTAGTTTATATCCTGGAACCTGGAGATCCTCCTTTGTTTCAGCAACCACTACAGACATCCAAATCTGGTATTCAGCAAATAATTGAGTGCTTTCGATCAGGTATGAATGTTTTAGGATGTATTTTTTCAATCTTAACACAGTAGTTAAAAATAATCTAGAAGTTTTTAGACATAATTTAAAATATATATATTATATATATATTACAATGTATACATTGGTTTTCTTTGTAGAATACTTTTAATTGTCTTACTTTTGGAAAGTAGATAGATATTGATTTGGTCTGGAAATCTTTTTCAGTAGTATATATTATACCTTTTTAATTGAATTTGTTTAGTATAAAATGTAATACATTTGCTGGTAAAGTGCTTCTTCCTCTTGAAGATCCATTGTTATCTTTTGTTGTGTTCTGTATAAGCTTGCAAAAGCTAGTAAATTATTCTGGGTCTTTAAACACTTTGGCATGGAAGATTATTTCCTCACAATGTCTAAGATGTCACTTGTAGATTAATTACTTTATCATTGTTTAGGTAGCCCATCTTCTGCTAAACTTTGGAGTTTCAATATCTTTAATAGAGCACAGGATAGAAAAAAGACACAGTCCAGCCCTGATAGCTTCAGATACATTTGTTTAGCTCTTATTTCCATTAAGTTAAGAATTAATAAATACATTCATTTGCAACCTAGTACTTAAAAATAGGCATTATTCACTACATATAAATGATTGGGAACTGTTGGAACTCTTGTGGTACAGGTAAGGTCCCAGATTGTTGTGACTCCTATGATCCCCTTGTCCATCTGTTAAGAATTAGGATTCTCTAACATTGCAGACTATTCAGTCAAATGTGAACAAGCAAATAACAAAAACTAAAGGATACCTAACTAATTGATGCTTAAAGAATTACAATGTTGTCATTATTTTATTTTATTTTTAAAT